GCCGTAATCCCCCCCCCACAAAAAAAAAAAAAAAAAGCCCCCCCCCCCCTTTGTTTAACTTTTTCAAAAAAAAAAAAAAAAATTTAACCAAAGAATTAGCTTGATCGACTGAAATCAAAATGATTCGATTCTGGATGATTGAATCTGAATTGAACAGCAAAAACAACGCAAAAACCAAAATTCAAAATCTAAAAACCAAAATCAAAAATTGAATAGACATTGATGATGATGATAAGATCAATGTTTTTTTTTTTAAAAAAATGTCAGTTATAACCGGGCTTATTATTCAATAATAATAATCTTGTTATCTTGTATCATTAGATGTCGATTTTTCTTTTCTTTTCTTTTTGATTGTTCACCAATTACGAAACCGAAAAAAAGGAGAAAAAAAGCAAAGCGTGCACAGAGAAAAAGATTCATTCTTCTATTTGGCAATACAAAGCAAAAACAGACAATTTTTTGAAAAAAAAACTTTGAAAAAACACACGTGCGCCCCTGTGTTTTTTATTGATCTGGATTTGAAATTGGTTTTTGGTTTTTGATTTTTCTGATTGAACATCGTTATTATTCATTCATTCATTTTAGCATCTCTCTTCGGTTAAAATAGTAAAAGTAATAATCGAAAATAATCATCCGAAGGTTCATTGTTTTTTTTCTTCATTATTTATTGTTATTTTACCTCATTAATTTACCTGAAAAACACTGATGAGATTTTCTCCATCATCACCGCTTAAATTACAATTAAAACATACACACACACTCGGGCACAAACAATAATAATATTCATGTAAAAAACAATAGATTCTAGAAGAAAACTAGTAATAATTATTATGTAATACATCACACACACACTTGTAAATGTAAAAAAAAATTCATGATTAAAACAAAAAGAAAGAATCGAGCAAACATTAACATTAACAACCGAACAAATGTTAATCGTGAAACAATTTTTTTTTGTTTTCCAATTTAACAACGTGTGTATTTTACATTTTCACATTTTCATTTAGCAAGTGCAGAAAAAAAATCCTGATAATTAATCAATTTCTCACTCTCACTCTCTGGCTCTGGCACTCGATAATGATTAACAAGCCCAAACAACAAGTTGTTTGGTTTGGTTTAAAAAAAACATAAACAAAGCCGATTTTCAATTCATCCCAAGAATCGCTTAATGTGTTATGTTTCACACCTTATTTTTCTCTCATTTAAATTGATGCGGCTGTTTCAGTTATTATTGTTGATGATGATTCTGTTGTTTACAAAAATCCGGGAAACAGAAATTTCCCGGGACAAATTTGAATAAAACAGGAAAAATTTTCCTATAGGATATTGTTACACAAAAAACAACAAACAAAAAATTGTAACATTTTCAATGAATGAATGAATGAATTTCCCCCCCCCTCATTTTTGAAACATCAACAAAAAAAAACCAAACATTCAGAGTAACACAAACGCACACACACACGGTAATAATTAACCACCCAATTTACTACATTATTATAAATTATAGCACCTTATGCTGATGATGGTAAACATTCTAAACATTCTAACCATCCATCCATCCATCCATCCATATAGGAAATACAATATTATTATGGTCAATAAATTTTACTTTAACCTGTCACAATTTTTATTATTATTTTGATCTTCAAATGAATTGTGCTTAGTTAAAGTAATAGTAGTAGTGTAGTAGTGTTAGGTGCCTTTGACCTTCATATGACTTGGTTGATTCGTTTTTGATTTTTGAAAGATCAAAAATAAAATAACCGTATTTTTTCGACCACAAAATCCGTATTTACCGGATTAGCAATGGTTTTTTGATCAAGAAAAAGAAAATTTATGATCATCAAACCAAAAAAATTCCAATGTTAAAGTCAAGTTTTTTTTTAAAAAAACCAAAGAAAGAAAAATAATGTTATGACATTTACATTTCGTTTAAATGTTTATCTTTTGAATTTATGGTTATGTAATCAGATTTTTCAAAAATTTCAAAGTTTTCAAAGTTTCTATTTCCACCCACACATGCACATTTTGAAGAAAAAAAAAGCCAAAGAAAAAAAAATCATTCGCGTGTGCAGCACACCCTTGTTGTATCGTTTTAAAAACGAAAAAAAAATACAAAACAAAACAAAAAAAAAACATTTTTTTTTCTTTCAAAAAAAGATTATCAAGATTTGGTAATTTGAAACTATTTTTTTAAAATAAAAACATTTTTAGAAACTATTTCTACTACTACTACTGGGTTTTTTTCTGGTTAGAAAAAAAATTAGAGTAATTTGAAACCTGTGAATTGAGAAAAATCTTTGAATGAATGAAATCAATTTCTGCTGATGATGATGATGATGATGACAAGATAAACCAATTAAAACATCGTTACATTGTCAATTGAGCAGAATGTTTGAATGTTTGACGACGACGATGCTCTTGATGCAACGATGTCACATTTTTAAAACCAAGGAAAACAACTTGAAAGAATATCGTATTCTCTCGATATTCGATCCAAACAACAACAACAGAAAAAATGTTTGGCTTTTTTTTCCTATCTAAATAAACCATATTGCGCAAAAAGAAACTTTTCTTCCTTCTTGTTTTTTTTTTTTTTTTTTTTTTTTTTTTTTTTTTTTGGGGGGGGGGTTTTTTTGGGGGTTTTTTTTTTTTTTTTTT